GTGTGTGTGTGTGTGTGTGTGTGTGTGTGTGTGTGTGTGTGTGTGTGTAAACCGAGCCACAGTGGCCCTTGACTTTGTTCTAGACATTCAGCTATTCCTTGCTCCACTCCTCATTCCTATGCTGGTGAGCACCTCTCTTTAACCTCGGGTTCCAGGCTAGAAGCTTCCCCTCAGTACAGTGAGGGACACTGCCGTCCACTCTTCTGTTGTACCCTCCCATGGTGGTGACCCTGGGTCATGACCCCCTACACCCCTAAGGAGCCCTGCCTGGCCTTTGAAGGGTTAGGGCCAGCACTGGGGCCGGTAAACAGACAGCTACTTCTTTCTGCACCCGACTGATCTGCTGCTGGAGTTTCCAGAAAATCCAAAGATGGACTATATAAATGAGGCGCTGGATTATGAATAAGTCCATTTTACAAGTGGGGAGACTGAGTCTTAGGGACACTCAGGGGCTGGTCCGTGGCCACACATCCAGTCAGTGGTGAGAGGCTTAGGTCCGTCTTAACTCTGAAACCCTTTGGCTCATGTGACAGGCATTGGATTAGAATTCTAGGGTCCCAAGTTCTGGTCCCAGTTCTGCTATCTGCTGCTGTGTGTGCTTCGGTGAGTCCCCCTGGACCCCTGGGGTGCCGTCCTTGGGGCACAAGGACATTGGATTCAATTAGTGGTTCTCACAGGCCAGTCTCTGTTGTACGTTGGTCCACAATGAAGGAGATAAGAAAATTTCTTATAATCTAATTGTGTTAATTTTTACATTTCTGATTTAGGTCCTCTTTCATTAGTATCAAATTATACTTTCTTTTGTTCTAGTGGTAGTTGATGGTCTTGGGGTTTTTTAATAACTCTGTACATGACAAAATAAAACAGTAGTAACCCTGTACATTCACAGTCCCTCTGTTAATGTATTGGTTTGTGAAAGCCCAAAGCATTGGGGCTCCCTGGACAAGATGATGTCTGTGGGTCCCTCAAGCTCTGGAGCCCTAAGAACCCAAGAGCTGGGTGGGGCAGGGAGCCCCGAGCATGGTGATGTGTGCTCACTTGCTGGCTTGCTCTCGGGAGACCTCAGACCCCAGTCCTTGCCCACCATCCCTTGGGGCCCGAGACCACCGGCCCCACCTGTTGGGCAGGATCCAATGGGAGCTGGGGGTGAGGGCAGTGGGCTGACCCTTAAGATGAATTTTAGTTCCTTCCTCCTTCCCTTTTAGCATGTTCTGCGAGCACCCTAGGGATACATGCAGTCTTGGGACAGAGGTAGAGAGGATGGAGGCCCAGCCCTTCCTACTGGAAAGTTTAGACCAGCGGGGGGCACTGACCAGCAGCACAGACACCTGCTCAGGCCTAGGGCAGCAGCACAGACACCTGCTCAGGCCTAGGGAGTGACTGCATTGAAGGCCGCAGGTGCATGGGAGGAGGAGACCAGAGAGGGCTTCTCAGAGGCAGCGTCCATCTTCTGGAATTTGAAAGACTTGGCCAGGAGCCCAGGTGTGATGAAGTGTCACCCAGTTTGCTTAACCAGAGAGGGCGCAGGTGAGGCCGGGCCCAGGCAGCTCTGGGGGTTCATTTCCTAAGCACAGGATCCGATCCCCATGAGGAGTGCTAGAGCAAGGCTGGGACATGGGTAGATGATGAGAGGCATCTGGCTTGGCCGGGGTGGGAGGAGCCAAGAGGAGGGGGACAGGAAGTACCCCCCCACCTGCCCTCAGTGGCATTACCCTCAACCCCCCCCCCCCGACTGCCAAAGTGCGTCTTCGCCTTTTATGATGGAGTGGCTCCGCCCTGGGGCAGAGCTGCCACTTTATGACTGGGTGGCCCTCTGAGCCTTATCTGTAGAGGGGGATAGCAGTAAGCCTCACTCAGTGAAGCTGCGATGCGCCCTCGGGGAGCCTTTCACGGGGTAGGGGGGGCCTGGAGTGACTCACCAGCTTGTGGGTGAGCACCTCTAGGATTCAGACCGGGAAAGCAGTCTGGTCACACACAGGAACCCTGAGGCTTAGAGAAGGGAGGGCACTTGTTCAGTGCAGGGGCTTCAGCGGGGAGTCTACCCGGAGTGTGGAGAAGAGGGCCCCCCCCCCCAGAGTGTGGCCTGGCACTGAGGCTGGCCCTGGCAATCTCTCATGTGTACCCTCGACCAGCTCACGGCACCTCCCTGGGCCTCAGTTTCCTCACCTGTGAAATGGGCTGGTAATAGAAGTGAACCAAGCCTGTTGGGAAGAAGGTGCCTGGCTGATGCAAGGTTCTCAGTGGTGCGTGTCGTCTCCTGTCACCCAGCATTCTGCAGGCCCAGGTGTTTGCTTCCCTCCCTCTCTGTTTCTGGTGCACTAAAGGAACTCTCAACTGCTCATGAGAAGACCGGTGCTGGAGTTTCACAGCCAGGCCAGAATGGTGCTGCTTTCCTACCTCTTGGAAACTCCCGGACCTGTACCGGATGGGTGGATGGATGGATGGATGGATGGGTGGGTGGAGAGAGGGGCCATAGCTTGCAGTGTTCTTGGCTGCCCACCTGCTGGGGCCGGCCTAGTTGCCTGCAACTTGGTCGCCCACCCAAGCTAGAGCTGTTTCTCTACCTGCTGGCCAAGGGGTGAGTCAGCTGAGGGCAAGGACCAGTGTCTTTTCTCCCCACCCCCCACCACTGGTCAGAACCAGGAGGGGCCTGGAGGGGACTCAGAGGCCAATTAATACATTCTCAGGAGTGACCTGGGGACCTGTGTCTGGGACCTCAACACCAGGCAGAGGGTGAGGGGCACGCTGTTTGGGGCTCTGCCCCCAGTCCAAAGCCGCAGTGGAGCTGGCAGCCTACAGGAGGCCCTTCGAGAAGACGCTTTCCTGCTAGGTGGCTGGGTGGGCCTGCCAGCGCATGGGAGGATCTGAGGGGACCCTGTCACCCTGCCGCTCTGGGGCTTCTAGGCGGGGCTGGGCTGAAGGCAGACAGTTGACCTCGCCCAGGCTCCTGAATGAAGTTGTTAGCAGTGTTTTCTTCCTCGGGTTTGGTTGGACTTTGATCAGTTTCCCTAGGAGAAGCCACACCATGAAGTGCCTCACTGTGCTCCCATCCCATTCTCAGGAGAACCTCTCCCTCTGTGCATGACCCCCATCCAAGGGCTGTGTGAGAACATGTCCCCTCACGGGGCGGTCACGGATGCCCACCTGCTTCCCAGAACTCTGAGCTCAAAGGAAAGACCAGATGTCAAAAGGTTTCAGAATCTGAGAAGCTGGCCACACACGGGAGCCACAAAGATGGGGCTGCCCAGGCCTCTGTGTGGCCTTCGGTCTGGTGTCAGAAAATTGTTCCTCCAGACATGCAGACATGCAGACATGCCTCAAGCTGGAGGGCAAGGGAGTTCCAATCATCCAGGCCACCCCTTTGCTGTCCATGGGGAAACTGAAGCTCAGAGAGGAGCAGCACACACCTTCAAGAGCTGGCGATCCCTGGAGCCCTTGCGGGGCAATTTACTTTAACATTCGGAGACCCTCAGCTTCCCTGTCTCACGGAAGGGGCTGCAGTTTGGGTGAAAATCTGCACTTTGTGCCAAGACAGCCACCTTGAGGGCTGGGGGGTGGGGGTTACTGGGAAACTAGGCATCATGCTCAAGGCCAAGGCTGGAAACATTCTGGGCTGGAAGGGATTCTGGGGGCCAACTCCCCCACCCCACCGTGCCTTCCTGTGCCCGGGTCCCCTTCAAGTGGTGATTTACGCCCCCTAATAGCTTAACCCCACTCTGTTCAGGTTGAGGCGTGGACTGGCGGGGCTCAGACCCGGGCCGGGCCACGCACTAGCAGTGTGGCCTTTGGCAGGCTGCTGGTGTCTGCCAAGTCTTGGATCCTCATCTGTCAAATGAGGAGAAGGTGGCCTCGTCTGGGAGTGAGGGGAGGACTCAGTGAGTCAGAAGGGCAGTGTGCAGCACCTGGAACATTGTAGGTGCTCCGTGTTCAGCCCCTCCTGTGTGTGTGTGTGTGTGTGTGTGTGTGTGTGTGTGTGTGTGTGTGTGTTGGGTTGGGGGGGGGGGGGGGGGTTGTCCCTCTCTCCTGCTAGCTTGAGCTTAGAAAATTCTACAGGCAGGAGCCGGGTGCGGTTCATGTCTGTGTACCCGGAGCCCGGAGCACACAGTGGGCGACTTGCCTTCTCTGTGGGCTCCTAACCTCGGGGCTCCCCTTTGCGTGTGCACAGGGGGCTGTTTTCCTGCGAGTTACAGTTCTCGAGGACAGCCCGGCAGGCGTCGGTGCCCGCAGCTCCCTGAACGCTGGAAACCCCGCCGACCCGCCTCCTCCGGGAAGCGGCGCCACCTCTGCTCCCCTCTGCCCCGCCCCATTAACCGCCCCCCCGGGCCCTGTGCTTGCCCCGCAGACGCCAGCATGTCTCCGGATGCCACCAAGCCGAGCCACTGGTGTAGCGTGGCCTACTGGGAGCACCGGACACGTGTGGGCCGCCTCTACGCGGTGTACGACCAGGCCGTGAGCATCTTCTACGACCTACCTCAGGGCAGCGGCTTCTGCCTGGGCCAGCTCAACCTGGAGCGGCGCAGCGAGTCGGTGCGGCGCACGCGCAGCAAGATCGGCTTCGGCATCCTGCTCAGCAAGGAGCCGGACGGCGTGTGGGCCTACAACCGCGGCGAGCACCCCATCTTCGTCAACTCGCCCACGCTGGACGCGCCCGGCGGCCGCGCCCTCGTCGTGCGCAAGGTGCCGCCCGGCTACTCCATCAAGGTGTTCGACTTCGAGCGCTCGGGCCTGCTCCAGCACGGGCCCGAGCCCGACGCCGCCGACGGCCCCTACGACCCCAACAGCGTCCGCATCAGCTTCGCCAAGGGCTGGGGGCCCTGCTACTCGCGGCAGTTCATCACCTCCTGCCCCTGCTGGCTCGAGGTCCTCCTCAACACCCACAGATAGCGGCCCGCCGCGACCTGCCCCACCGCCCAGAGACACAGCCCCCCACGGACGACACCCCCCCAAATATCATCTACCTAGATTTAATATAAAGTTTTATATATTATATGGAAATATATATTATACTTGTAATTATGGAGTCATTTTTACAATGTAATTATTTATGTATGGTGCAATGTGTGTATATGGACAAAACAAGAAAGACGCACTTTGGCTTCTAATTCTTTCAATACAAATATATTTTCTTTCTTTTCCTCCTTCCTCCTCTTCTTTATTATTATTATTTGTTTTTGTTTTTTTTGTTTTTGTTTTGTTTTTTTAAAGAAAATGATACAGCAGAGCTAGGTGGAAAAGCCTGGGTTTGGTGTATGATTTTTGAGATATTAATGCCCAGACAAAAAGCTAATACCAGTCACTCATTGATAATAAAGTATTCGCATTATGGTTTTTTTTTTTTTTTTTAATGTCTTCTTTTTAACAAAGAGGGACATGCAGGGCTTCCGTGGGTCTCTGACCCAGCCAGCATCCTGAAACTTGATTTCAGTCTTTTACCAGGGAAAGAGTACAGGGGATAAATTGAGAACGGAGAAAGGGCATATGTTTACTGTTGAGGCCAGAGAAGGTTCTTATGTTCCCTCCTGCCCATGGCTGCACTGTGTCCACAGGATGGGGGTGTGTGTCGGGGTGGGGGGGCAGGGAACTTTCCGGGTCTGATGGGGGAGGCTCAGGTCCGTGCCTCCCATCTCTGAACTGTGCATAAGCTGCAAGAAGACACTAATTCTCATCACTCTGGGGAAATGGCCTGAGGAAGAAAGATACAATGGGCCTCGGGCCCACCCGCCACCTTCGAAAACCCACCTAAGCCCCAGGGTGAAGCTCCTTTTAAGACCTAGACAACCCACTCTCGCACCCCTCACCGAGAAGCTCAGAACTAGGCCATCTGGGGTTGTATTTATGATTTATGCAAAGGCAGGTCGTTTCTTTCTCCTCTATAAAAGGGAAAAGTTGAGATTCTGGAAGAGCAAATGACTAGCTCATAACAGATCAGGGTTAGAAGTCACATTTAATTGTAGGACCAGAGCCATATTAAATCAGTTTTCTCTCTTGAGAAAACTCAAAAAAAAAAAAAAGCCTTCCTTGGCCAGATAACTAAGGGGAATGTTACATTGTATATCTTCTTTCTTGGAGATTTACATTAGCATATTAAGTGCTCAGAGAAGTCATGTGTATTATCTATCACAGCGTAATAAATTATCCTGAATCGTAGCAGCTTGAAACTAACATTTCTTATCTCTCCCAGTTTCTTGTGTTCAAGAATGCAGGAGCAGCTCAGCTGGGTGGTTCTGGTTCAGGGTCTCGTGAGGTTGTAGTCAAGCTGTCGGCCAGGGCTGCAGTCATCTGAGGCTTGTCTGGAGCCGGACGACCCGCGTCCAAGCTCACTCACGTGGCTGTTGGCTGGAGGCCTCCGTCCCTCACCACACAGGCCTCTCCACCGGGCTACTCATGACGTGGCTTCTCCCAGAGCAAAGGATCCGAATGAGAGAGACCGGGAGTGAAACTGCCATCCTTCATCACCTTAGCTCGAAAGTGGCATGCATCTCTTTGCCATATTCTGTTGATCACTGAACCGTTCTTGCTGACGATGAGGGAGGGGCTACGCGAGAATGTGAATGACAGGAGGCGGGGATCGTGGCCAGCACATCCTCTGAGAAGTACACCATTTTACTTTGCTTCCCAAAGTTATTTACCAACAGACTCTTTTCCCCACCCCTGCTAATCCTGTCCCCATACCGAGGCATACTGGTGCCTCTGACAGTGCCAACCCACGGACACGCCAGGGCGCCCCACACTGAGGCCCTGTCCTGAAGATGCCCATCGGGGATGCCTGTCTTACTGGGGTATTTTTGGTGTGGGGTCAGTGTGGGGGGCACTTCAGGCTCAGGCAGTTAGCAGAGTGCAAGATGGAACAAGGAGCCAGTTCTGTGGGGGGGGGGTCTTACGCCTCTGGTCCTCACGGGCAAGTGCCAGGCTAAGGGTGGCGGAGGGGACAGGAGCAAAGGGGTGACGGCGTGGGCCTGTTAAGAGACCAGGAGGCATCCGTGGCATGCAACACCTAGGAGGCAGGAGAAGGTAGTCTTCAGACACTCATGCTCTGGAGCCAGGTGGCCTGAGTTCATATCTGGTGTCTGCCTCTAGAGTGACCCTGGAGACTTCTCATCAGGCCTCGGTGTTACCATAAGATGGTGTAAGATGGGGCTAACACCGCTCCTGCCCGAGAAGTGGGTTCAAATTGGGAGAAATAAGGACATCACACGATTCCTGGTCCATCATCGGTGTACATCAGCTGTTGGGAGTACAGGGCTGAGACTGGAAAGGGAGGCAGGCCCTCAGATGTCACGACTAGGAGCTGAGGTGACAGGTGGCCAGGGTGGGGGGTGAGACCCTGGTTTCTGAGTGGGCCAGGGAGGTGATCTGTGCGGGCCTTGGTTTGTTTTTGGTTTTTTTTTTAAGATTTGATTTATTTGTCAGAGAAAGAGAGAGAGCACAAGCGGGGAGAATGGCAGGCAGAGGGAGAAGGAGGCTCCCCACTGAGCAGAGAGCCTGACGCGGGACTCGATCCCAGGACCCCGGGATCATGACCTGAGGGGAAGGCGGGCACTTAACTGACTGAGCCAGCCAGGCGTCCCTGGGCAGGCCTTTAGAAAACTCTTTGTAGGGGCTTCCCAGGAGGAGGGCTAGGCTGCAGGCAGGAATGAGTGGGCTGAGACCTACCTGCACCCACTGGGGCCCCCCAGCGCATAGGGCTCGCCAACACCAGTCTCTCGAGAGGGACCGTTTGCTCTCAGAGGAAGCAGCCGGTCACCCCATGATGCCTGGGTATGGAAGTAATGATCACAATCCCCCTTTATCAGGGAGCAAGAGGGACAGGGATTGACACTCCCGCCCATTTCATAGATGAGGAAACTGAGGCCCAGAGCAGGGAAGTGCTTACCTCAATCCCGTAATCGTGGCTGTTTGGATATGACCCGGATTGCTTACTTCCCACCACAGGGTCTACTCTGTGCAGACCGGATAGCGACGTCCTTTTGCCCTGTTCCAGATTCTCAGGGTGCCCACTCAGCCAGATGACAATGATTCTAGAAGGAAGCCTCACGGGCCATGCTGTCCTTCAAGGAAAACTCTCCTGGTTCCCCTGCCAGGCCCGTTCACTCCCCACCGCCACGCTCAGGCCTGAGCCTCCAGGGGCCCAACCCCGGCCCTGCTGCCCCATAGGTCCAGGCCTTGGTCCTCCTCTGGAGCCCTGAGCTGAGCTGAGCTGTTCCACGTGAGGGTGGGCAAGGAGTCCCTGGGTTTCTCGTCAAGGCAATGACTGGTAACGGGCCCTGTTGGTGAGCCCTTTCCACACGCTAAGAACTGTTCGTGCCCCTGGTTTCTAGTGGCGTCTTGGCGAGCATGGTCTCCGTCATGTCTCCTCACAGATGGAGAAACCGATGCTCACATGAACGCTGTCATTGGCCCACGCTCCCTGGGAAGGAACAAGCCCTCTGTGTCAGAGGCCAGCTGGGGCTCCTCCTGGGGGCTGCTTGTCACCGGCTGTGTGGGAGCAGGCCTGTCCCTCGGGCAGAGTGGCCAGCATGGGGCGCTGGGTTCCGGGGCCCCGGGCCGTCGACCTCACAGCTCTTCTGCTCCCAGGCCTGCCCCGTCCCGCGGCCTCTTCCCTGGGCCTCCTGCCCTGCTCCTGCCTCTTCCAACCTACTCTCCACCCCGAGTGATGCTGTGCGCCCAAATCTGGTGGTGCCCCTCCTCCGCAGGACGGTGACCTCCCTGATGACTCCCTGTACCCTGGGGATGGAGAATGCCCTCTTAGAGTGGCCTGGGAGGCCCCGCCCCGCCTCTACCTGGCCAACCCCCTTCAGTCCTTGGGTGGCCACGAGTGTCAGGGAGAGGTGGCGGGTCTGAGACTCCCCTTCCAGCCCCTCAGTTTATGGGTGGGGAAACCGAGTCCCAGACACACGAGGCTCAGGGGCCGAGGTCACAGAGGGGCAAGCTCCCCTCCCCCCCACTCCCAGTCACGGTAAGGTACTTGCAGTAACTCTGCGGTTTCCCCCAGACCACCCAGGGATCCGGTGACTCAGGCTCTAAAGGAGGCACTTTCTAAACAAGGCCCGGTCTCTGGAGAGTGTGGTGGGACCCTGGTCCCTGCAGGCCCTGGGAAGCGAGGTGGGTGCGGCTCACTGCCTCCAAACCCGAGCTCAGGCCTGGATGGGGGACGGAGGGATTTCCTGCTACCGCTAGGCTTTTAGAGAAGGGAGTCCCTCCACTGCCCGTTCTCTCCGTTCCACAGCCCACCCCCATCTCCAGTCCCTCCCCTGCTTTAGTGCCTGGGGGGGTGGGGGTGGGGGTAGAGGGGTTGATCTAGGAGTGAGGGAAACAGAGGAGTGAGCCTGGAGATCTTGATCCATGCTTCAGGTGACAAAACCCAAGGCCCAGAGAAGGGTGTGAGTAGCCTGAGGTCACACAGCAAGTTCAGGGCAGAGCTGAGCCTAAACCTCAGGTCTCAGGACTCCTGGTCAGGCGGCTCCCTGTGTGTTCCGGCAGATTGCATCCGTGCTCTGGAGGGCCGGCACACACCTCTGTTCCGCTCCGAGAACTCCCCTTACGCCCTCCTACCCCTTTCCTGGA